TTGCTTTCTTGCCCCCTGCTGTTGTGAAGGCGGTCTCCTTTCCTGCCGTGGACTTACGGAGTGCTACATATGAGGCTTGTTTGCTGCACTGTCCCTACTCTGTCTCTGCCTTTCTCATCTCCCCAATTAACCACCTCAATGAATGCTGATCTATAGCTCTGCCTAAGGCAGCCCTGCGCGCCTCTTCTCCCATTCCCTCTGCCGCTGCTGCCCCCGGCAGGTACCCCATGGCCAATTCGCATTCTAAGGCCGTCGGCTCTTCCCACCTTTTCTTATGCTAGTCGTACACCATGCCTGGTCCTGGTATCCCATCCACCTCCACGAACCCTCGAGCCTGAGAGTAGGCTACTAGTGTCGGCCAGGCCCTCCGTGCCTTCCCCACTTGGTTACACTGGTACTGCCGCGGATGGTCTGGCTTTACCACAGGAGCGGCGACTCTGCCTGGTTCCAGAATATCTTCCACTATCCGGTTCTCATTCCTCTCCACCCTTGCTAGTCTTGCTCTCAGTTCCTTCTGGCAGGACATTCTGCCAGAAATGTCGCACTCTATGACACCATGCCCCCAGCTGCGCCCCATCACAGCTCACTCTCCTTCCCAGCTCTGCCTCCACCAGCTCTCGTACTGCTCGGACCGGCTCCCGTGCGTCTCCCCTCATATCTACGTGCTCCAGTATGTAGGCATATTCCCCTCCTGCTTCCCTCGCCCACTTCATGATCGACAGAAGTGTGGACACCATCGCTGTACGTTCGTCCTGCATGCCCTTCTCTTTTCCTGCTCGTGAAGTACCCTGGCACTCCCATCCCGCCACGAGTAGGTCCACCTTTCCCCAGCTGCTTACATCTTCCTTGGTGATCTGTCCCACATCCCACCTTTTGTTTTGCATGGCCTCACGTAACCCTCCCCTTGTCAGCTGCTCCGGGTACTGCTGTTGCAGCATCTGAGCATGATTCCAAGCCATCCTCCTCACTTCGGGGTATACTTCCACGTATACCCACTTCTCTACTTTCATTCCTTCTTCCAGTGCTGCTGCCAAGCCTGCTCCCAACCCTCTGAACAGCTCCACTAAGGTAATACTGTACTGATCTAAGCTGGCGGTATTCTTACCCTCTTCTAAACTCCCTCCTTGCAAGCTATGCTTTCTCGCTCCCTCTGCCCTCCAGGCCCTCTTCGGTTCTGTCATAACGAATCACACCGGCAGCTTGCTCAACCCCTTCCCTTCCTCTCGGAAATCCGGGTGGTAAAGCACCTGCTCCTGTCACGTACAAATCATGGTGCCTATCTTAAACAGCAGCTCCATTCCCAGTAAGATGTCGTAGTCCTCTGATTTTGTCAACCCACATTGCACTCTGATCTTCGTCTCTCCTTTCTCCCCGGGCCGAAGGGTTATCTCGATCGGTTCCCGCGTGCAGGGCATCCATTTAGAAGCCCCGCCTATGGCTATCATGATCAGTATGCCTTTGCTCACGATCTCCAAATCTCCCTGTGCCCGCAGCTGCTCTGTCAGCTTCATTCCGATCAGAACGCTCTGTGCCCCTGTATCCACCACTGCGTTTTCCACCAGTATACCTCGCACTACCATTGCTTTGGGTTCTACTACTAAGGCTGTAGGCTGGCAGACGAGCCATTCTTCAGGGTGACGGCGAGCAGTCCTTGAGCTTCCTCTCCCTACTGGTTGCCTGTAGATTTTCTTCTCTTGTTGTCACTGCTCTGCCTTGCCGTCTACTCCCCCACTGCGTAGTCCCAAATCCCCTCTCTCCCTTGGTGGTATAGCCATCGTCCCATATTTAGGCTCTCTCTCCTCATACTCCTCCCCATCGTCATCTTCCCAAGCCAGCAGCGCCTTCTCGGGATCCTCGCTGATCTCCGCCTTCCCCATATGGGCTTTGATTTTAGCCAGCTCCCGTTCCAGCTCTAGCTCCCTTGCTGATTTCCTTCTCGCCCGATCTCCCTTACTGTAACATTTGGCTTCCGTATGTTCCCTTTTCCCGCATCCCGTGCAGATAGGCGCCTTTGGGCAGTCCCGTCTAAAGTGCCCCTTTGCTACGCAGGTGTCACATGTGATCCCAACAGCACAGTCCCTACGAAGGTGTCCCTGCTCCCCACATTTATGGCAGCGCCTCATATCTTCTGGCGGTCTTTCTCTTCGCTCCTCCTCTCCCATTTTGCCCTCCACCGCTACCCAAGCTGGCCTTCTTCGCTCGTTCGGCCGATTGGAACTCGACCCCTGCATGCCATCGTAAAATCTCTTCCCTTCCTCCACTTCCTTCGGCACCTGATATACCTGCCGCAGCGTGGCTCGTACTCCCAGGGAGTATAGCTGACTCCTCGTGTTGCTTATCAGATCTTTATTCAGCCCGTTGACAAATTTAGTCACCAAGATGCGTTCTTCCATGCAACCCATGTCCTCCGCCAGATCCAGCAGCCTTTTGTAATAGGCCAGTAGCGACTCTGAAGTGGCTCGAATGAAGTTAAAAAACTCTGCCATCCAATCTGCCGAATGCCCCTGGAATTGCTTTTGCAGACTCTCCAAGAATTGGTCCGTGATCATCGCAGCTGGGAAGTCTCCTCTCTTGTTCTGCATCAGCAGCCCCTGCCTCTCCACACGGTAGTGCGTCGGCGCTTCTCCTTTAAGAGTCCTCCCTAAACCTCTGAAGAATTCGATGGGATCCAATCCCTCCTTATCCCAGCAGTAGCGGATGTCCTCTATCATCATGAGGTAGTTCTTTGGTGTGGGCTCTTCTCCTGGCGTCCCCGAGAAGCGATCTGGCACCTCGATTTTTGGTGGCACACCGTTCATCGATCTACCAGTCCCCCAGCACGTTGTCCCTCTTTCCCCACTCCCAGCAGGCCGACCACCTCTTCCGGCCTCCATGGCTTCGTATCCTCCCGCTGAGAATCCCTGATACTGTTCTCCTCTCTGACTTCGTCGCTCTTCGTGCTGATCATCTCCTTCTCGCTGGCTTTTTTGCTCTTCATGGTGATCGTCTCCTCCTCTCTGACTTCGCCGCTCTTCGTAATGCTCTTCCCCTCCCAGATCAGGAGGTCCTCATCGAGGTCCAGGCCCCACAGGGCGAAATCTGCTCCCGCCTGCCGGTGAATCACAAGCAGAGCTCAGCGGCTGTTCTCTCTGTCCGCTACCTTCCTTCTCCCGATCCGATCCTTGATTGCTGCGTACGTTATTATCTCCCTCCCCCGCATGAAATCCAGGCGTCCTGATCGGCGGATCACGTCACTCCATCATCCTCGCAGGGAATCGGTGACCCGAGCGCAGTTGATGAGTATGAAGCTCTTGATCGAATTCACTCATTCCTCACGGCGCAGCACCGCGAGTTACTCCAGGCGGCCAAGCCTGTCTCCTGTACTCTAGAAAGTCGTGAGCCCTTTTTCTTGTATGCAACAAGTCTTAAACTCCCTCGCAAGGGCTCAGTCAGATTGCTGTTAGCTTCTCCTACTGCTAGTTCCCTTCGGATTAGGAAAGCAAATTGCAATAAACAAGAAACATACAAGCAAAAAGCAAGAAGCCCGAGTGCTACTCCTGCCTACATCTATTCCCACCCCCTGCCTAGGTTGCTTCCTCTATAAGCAAGCTCTTGTTCCCCAAGCGAGTCAGCCGAGCTACTCGCAAGGTCTCCAAGGTGCTAGCCGGGTTCCCACTAAGCCCACTAGGCTGCGGAGATAACTCTGTCAACAGGAGCTAGACTACGGGCTAGGCACGGGGTAGGAGTGATCTCTGCGTTCGTTCCTTAGTCGTTTGCCTGTGTTCACACTACTTGCGCATTCACGGGGAAAATTGGTTAGAGTTTCACTAGCAAAAGTTCACAACAATGATGTTCAGAATGATAGCAACAACATTGGCATGCAAGGCTACATCAGAGCTAGCACAGCTGCTGGTCGACTTCCAGCGCAGCATGGTCGTTCGCGGTCCAGCGCAGCAAAGCTCGCACCGCTCCAGCGCAGCAAAGTAGCGGCTTGCCAACGTCGCAAGTCTGCGGTGCGCCAACGCTGCAGCAAGTCGGCTGCACAACGAAGCACCCGCAGGACAACGGTGCACCTGCTTCACGGGTGCGTGCAGCTGGTTGGTGCTCCACACCTCGTCACGAGCACAGCGCAGACGCCTAGCAAAGTCCACGCCAGCGACTACGCATACTAGCCACGTCGACCTCGGGATACCACTTCCGAGGTCGGCTTCGCAGAAAACCATCCCGGCGACTTTCGCACACGTCGCCCGGGTATCCCGGACGACCGGGCAACCCCGCCTGGTCGTCCAGCCCAGTCGGTCGCCGGCTACACCAAACCCGGCGTCCCAGGGTCGGCGTCCTGGCGTCCAGGTCGGCGTCCACTCGCCCAGGACGCCGTCCAGGCGCCCAGGTCGGCGTCCAGCCTCCCGGGACGTCGTGCAGAAGCCCAGGTCGGCGTCCGGGCGCCCAGGACGCCAAGAAGACGCCCAAGTCGGCGTCCAGGCGCCCAGGACGCCGTCCAGACGCCCAGGGTGCCGCCCAAACGCGAAAGGCGGCGTTCACCTGCTCGGCGCCCTCCAGCGAGGCGCCCCCCAGCTCAACGCCCTTTCATTGGCCCCCGTACCCACTGCTGCAGGTCGGCTGCATCCCCCCCTACACACCCGACCATAGGGTCGGCTCCGCCCAAGCGAGGACGGGGCCAAACACTACTCCCGTTGACACTCCCCTGCCGCGTTCACGCTTGGGCCTCCAGCCCACCTACATGGCAGCACTGCTCGGAGAATAGCTCGACGGCGTTCATACAACACACAGCACGCCGGACACCGCACCAGCCATGCAAGAGGGCATGGCACCTACTGCTGCACGTCGTTGTCGCCGTCGCCGACTTCGGCCAGGCGCACTTGGCCGATTGCGACGGAGCACCGGTTGAAGGCCGGGTAGTGCAGCGCCTTTGTCAGGAAGTCGGCCGGCTGCTCGGTGGTCGGGATGTACCTCAACGCAAACTTCCCGCGCTTCACCATGTGCTGCAGCCAAGCCTGACGTCACTCCATGTGCTTGAGGTTGCCCGTCAACCCCATGCCCCCGGCGACTGTGATGGCCGACTTGTTGTCCACCTGAAGGACAGTCGGCTTCCCAGCGTCCAGCTGCCGGAACTCTGCGAGGAGGAAGCGAAGTCGGCGTCCCTCCTTCCCAACTTCGGTTGCCGCCACGTACTCCGACTCGGTCGACGAGAGCGTCGCGCACTTGATGCGCTGGCTCGACCAGGAGACTGCGGCCCCTCCGTAGACAAACACGTAGCCGCCCGTGCTCGTCCGGTTCTGCTTGTCGCTGGCGTCGTCGGCGTCCACGTAGCCGACAAGCTCCAGCGACCCCAGACCACTGCCGAACTCCAGGGCGGTGTCGCGCGTGTTGGCGAGGTAGGCGAGGCAGCGGTCAACCTCGCGCCAGTGTTGGTCGCTCCTCACCGTGAGGCCGCTCCCCAGCTTGCTGCAGGCGAAGGCGATGTTCGGCCTCGTCGTCGTCGCCGCGAACTGCAGCGAGCCGACCTTCTGCCGGTACTCCTCCTCCTGTCGCTCCTGCGCCTCCTCGTCGTCGAAGGTGAGCTTGGCGTAGGCGTCGACCGAGACCGGCGTCTTCGGGGTCCGACCGCCCTGCTCCTCGTCGATGAAACGCCTACGCAGCTTGTCGGCGTAGCCCTGCTGGTGCAGCCACAGCTTCCTCGCCGGCCTGTCGCGCACGATCTCCAGGCCGAGGTACTTCTGCACTGGCGAAATCTCGCGCAGCTCGAAGGTGGCCTCCAGCAGCTCCTTCAGCTCCCTCAGCATCGCGGTGCTGCTGCTGGCGGCGAGCAGGTCGTCGACGTAGACCAGCACCCAACAGGCCACCTTGTCGACGCCGACTTTGAAGTACAGAGCCTCGTCGACCTGGCTCTTCTTCCATCCGGCGCCTACCAGCACGTTGTTGAGCGCCTTGTACCACAGCAGCGGCGACTGCTTCAGCCCATAGAGGCTCTTCAGCAGCTTGCACACCCGACCGGTCCCGTCGTGGAAGTAGTCCGGTCCGGCTGGCACATGTAAAGCACGCAGTCGAGCTTGCTCTGCAGGAAGGCATTCTTCATGTCCAGCTGCATCAGGTTGAGGTCGAGGACGGCGACGATGCTGAGGAAGATCCTCAGCGTGACGTAGCTGCTCACCGGCGCGTACGTCTCGTCGTAGTCGGTGCCATACACCTGCGTGAAGCTTTTCACGACTAGCCTCGCCTTCTTGCGCTCTACGATGTTATCGATGCGGTACTTCGTCGTCAACACCCACCGGTTCTTCATAATGTTGACGCTGGGAGGCCGCTCAACGAGCTGCCACGTGCCGTTCGCGATGAGGCTCTGTATCTCCTCGTCCATTGCGGCCTTCACTGCCTTGCCCTTCCAGCTCGCCAGCGCCTCCTTCACCGTCATCGTGGAGATGTCCCAACGGTGCTCGGGGTCGGCGTGCATGTCAGGGTCGAGCTCCGGCAGGTCCTCATCCTCCTCGGCGTCGTCGTACGCCAGGTCGTCGTCGTCGATGTCATACACCGTGGTGAAGGCGGCCGGGACGAAGAAGTCGGGCGGCCTCCGAATTCGGCCTGTACGCCGTGGCCCAGGCTTGACCTCCACCACATCACTGTCAGTGGACTGCCCGTCGTTTGACTGCTCCCCTTTAGCTTCACCGGCTTCACAGTCCTCGGCGTCCCGCTGCACCAAAGCCGGCGTCTCAGCGGACTTCTCCCCTATTGTCGGCTCCCCCACTGACATCCTTGTTGCTGACAGCTTCCCTGTCGGCTCCATTGTCCTCTGCTCCCCTGTCGGCAGCTTCCCTACAGCCGCCCCCTGTGACGGCATTGGCTCCTCGGCCTGCTGCTCTGCATCCACGCCGACTTGGTTCACGTCTCGTCGGCCACCGGCGATGCCCGTGGTCGGCGCCACAGGAGACGCCCCACTGCTCCCCTCATCGCCGGAGGCCGACGTCGGTGTCAGCGCATGCGGAACGGCGACGGGAGGAGGAACGACCTCCTCGGCGTCCTCATCAGCACGCTCACTGACCTCGGCGAGCAGGGGGAGTGTCGCGGTGGAGGTGTCCGACGGCGAGGTAGCCAGCGGCCGCCCCAACGCCGGCCCGTGCATCGACTTCCACACCTCCAGCGACATGGTTTCGTAGAACACCACGTCCGACGTGGTGACCACCTGGTTGTCGGCGAGGTCGAGGAGCTCCCAGCCCTTGCTCTCCTCCGACACGCCGAGGTGGAGACCCCATAGGTCCTTTGGCTTCAGCTTTCCACCACGCTACTGCTCGGGGAGCAGGAACTGCGCCATGCAGCCCCACACGCGTGCCAGCGACAAGTCGGGCTTCTTCCCGGTGAGCAACTGGTATGGCGTCGTCCCCGGCAACAGCGACTAGCGCTCCAGGCAGTTCCGTACCCAAACGGCCTGGCGCAGGGCGAGGTGCCACCAGTGGTGCTGCACGCCCATGTGCAACAGCATCGTCCGCACCGACTCCACCACCGTCCTCATCTCCCGCTCCGCCATGCCGTTCTGCTGCGGGGTGTACGGGCAGGTCAGGTCGTGGATAATCCCCTTGCCGTCCATGAAGGCGGTGAACTCTTTCCCAAGGAACTCCCCTCCCCGATCTGATTGCAGCTGCAGCACCGGCTTCTTTGCCTGCCGCTCAACCAACACCAGCCACTGCGCGAACTCCCGCAGCACGTCGGACTTCCTGGCGACCGGCTTCACCCACACGTAGCGGGTCTTGCGGTCCTTCAGCAGCAGGAAGTACAAGCTGCCATCCTTGGCGGCCACACGAAACGGCCCGCACAGGTCGATGTGCACGACGGCCAGGGCGTCCTCGGGCGTCCTCGCCTTTGTCGGGGAAACTGTGCCGCGCCAGCTTCCGGCCGACGCACGAGATGCAGGGTGAAGCGGCACCGGACGCCGGCGTAAGGTCCAGCCCGGTGGCAACCTCGTGCTTCGCCGAGCTCAGGATGGTGTCCATGCCGACGTGCGCAAGCCTCGTGTGTAGCCTGTTCGGCGTCGTTTTTGTCGCCGAGACGATTTCCCGCAGAGCCACTGCTCCCGCTGCAGTCGTCGCCGAGCAAGGACGTAGGTCGGTGCAGAGGACCCGGCCGGAGTACGTTGCTCGGCCGAGGACGTTGCCGGTTGCCGAGATGAGCAGCATCCTGTTGCCGTCGGCCTGCAGCTCCACGCTGTTCTCCTTCAGCTGACCGGCCGACAGCAAGTTCGCATGCATGCTCGGGACGTACAACACATCGGGGATGAGCACCCGCTTTCCGACCTCCCCTTGTAGCGCAACAGTGCCCCGTCCCTTGATGTCCTGCAGCGCCCCACTGAAGCCGCGCACGTATTTAATGTTGTCGCTCGGCTGCAGGTCGACGAAGACCTCCTTCGTCCCCATCAGGTGATGTGAGCAGCCGCTGTCGAGCAGGACCACCGCCGGGTTCGCCTGCACGGCTGCTGCCACCGCCTGGAAATTCTCGCCGGCCTTCGGCGCCAGCGAGACGGTCGGCTCCATGACGCCGACCAGCGAGCACGACGCCTCCCCGTCGCCTCGCCCCTTGCCGCTAGCAGAGGAGTCGGCGTCCTTCGCCGAGGTCGACTTGTTCGACTGCTTCTCCTTGCGCGGCTTGCTTTCCCGACGTGGACGACGGCTGGCCGACCTTCCACGACCTCCCTTGGCGTCATCATTGTCGGACTCACTTTGGTCGGGGCACTCAAAGGAGAGGTGGTCACGGCTGTGACAAATCCAGCACTCCCGACGCCGACCTCCTCCTCCGCGACCGCCGTCCTTGGCCAACTTCGTCTTGTCGGCGTCCCTCCCCGGCTTCCCGCCACTGCTACCACCGCCGCCAGGCTGACCACGCTGTCCCGGTCGGCCACTATGCTTCGCCGGGGCGGCGTAGTTCACCTGCGGCAGGAGCTCCGAGGACCGCTCAGCTTCCTGCATCGCCTCGTCCCGCAGGATGTACGAGGTCGAGGAGTCCTCGTTCAGCGTTGCCCGCGTGCTCGGCACCACCGACAGCCGCTTCAGCAGGTTGTAGCTGCTTGGGAGTCCCTTCAGGACGTGCGTGACATACGACGCCGTGGAGTACTGCACGCCGGACATTTTCATGGTGGCGAGAAGTCGCCGAGCCCGGTTGCAGTAATCGGTCGCAGTCTCCTGGTCGCCCATCCGCAGATGCGTCATCTGCTCCTCGAGCTGGCCGATGTACAGGTCGTCGGTGACCTGGTACGTCGACTCGATGAAGTGCCACGCCTGGTGGCCGGCGTCCAGGTAGTCCCTACACGGCTTCAAGGCGATCTGCACGCCCGGCGAGCAGCACCGCGAAATGACCGTGAAGGTCAGCAGCTGCACAACGCGAAACTCCGCACGCAAGTCGGGATTGTTCTCCGACGGCGTTGGGTGCCGGCGGCGAAGCCCATCAGCCCGGCCATCTCCAGCTGAGGCTCGATGGCTTCCTTCCAGGTGAGGATTCCTATCCGGTGTAAACTTGAAGTAGCCGTAGCTCGGCGCGATTCCCCCCGTCGTCACGTGAGTCGCCGACATCGGCGCCAATCCACTTCGTCGGCCTCCGACGTCGCCCTGCGAGGCCCCTACAGCCGTCAACGACTGCATTTCTCACGCCTAAACGTCGCCGTCTTCCCCGGCGTGAATCACTCCCCTCGGCTTCGACGTGCCTCCCGCACTGCTGCCGACCTGATCACCAGCGTTGACGCCCACGTCGACGCCGCCTGCGTTGTTCACCGGTCGGGGAGACGCCAGTTGGGAGGGGTGCTCCGTCGCCCACGCGGCGCGGATGCCAGCCTCGACTACCGCCAACGGGAGGGTCCCGTACTCGTTCGCCACGTGGCGTCTCCTCGCATCCTCCAGCCGTGCCTCCAAGGTGTCCACGACGCCCGCCTCAACTACGGGGTCCACCATGGCGTCCAACACAGCCGCCGGCCTACGAACAAGCTAGGTAAGTGCAAAGTCGGCTACACCGAAGGTATCGTTGCGGGGCCGTCGCTCGCCGCACCATGCGGAGATAACTCTGTCAACGGGAGCTAGACTACGGGCTAGGCACGGGGTAGGAGTGATCTCTGCGTTCGTTCCTTAGTCGTTTGCCTGTGTTCACACTACTTGCGCATTCACGGGGAAAATTGGCAAGAGTTTCACTAGCAAAAGTTCACAACAATGATGTTCAGAATGATAGCAACAACATTGGCATGCAAGGCTACATCAGAGCTAGCACAGCTGCTGGTCGACTTCTAGCGCGGCATGGTCGACCGCGGTCCAGCGCAGCAGAGCTCGCACCGCTCCAGCGCAGCAAAGTAGCGGCTTGCCAACGTCGCAAGTCTGCGGTGCGCCAACGCTGCAGCAAGTCGGCTGCACAGCGAAGCACCCGCAGGACAACGGTGCACCTGCTTCGCAGGTGCGTGCAGCTGGTTGGTGCTCCACACCTCGTCACGAGCACAGCGCAGACGCCTAGTAAAATCCACGCCAGCGACTACGCATACCAGCCACGTCGACCTCGGGATACCACTTCCGAGGTCGGCTTCGCAGAAACCATCCCGGCGACTTTCGCATACGTCACCCGGGTATCCCGGACGACCGGGCAACCCCGCCTGGTCGTCCAGCCCAGTCGGTCGCCGGCTACACCAAACCCGGCGTCCCAGGGTCGGCGTCCTGGCGTCCAGGTCGGCGTCCACTCGCCCAGGACGCCGTCCAGGCGCCCAGGTCGGCGTCCAGCCTCCCGGGACGCTGAGCAGATGCCCAGGTTGGCGTTCGGGCGCCCAGGACGTCGAGAAGACGCCCAAGTCGGCGTCCAGGCGCCCAGGATGCCGTGTAGACGCCCAAGACGCTACCCAAACGCCAAAGGCGGCGTCCACCTGCTCGGCGCCCTCCAGCCAGGCGCCCCCCAGCTCAACGCTCTTTCAGTGGCCCCCGTACCCACTGCTGCAGGTCGGCTGCATCCCCCCTTACACACCCGACCATAGGGTCAGCTCCGCCCAAGCGAGGACGGGGCCAAACACTACTCCCGTTGACATAGGCATGCACCAATTTCCAGCCTGGTGACTTCGAATTGAATTCCCAGGCTGGCATTGAATTCGCCTGCCAGCCTTGTGACTTCGAAATTGAATTCACAGGCTGGAATTGAATTCGCCTCCACCAACCTCCTTCTCCTCCCACTAACCACCTCGAATTCCCCAGCTACTCGACTCTGTAGTACAGTACAAAACATTCCAAGCACACAAATGAAATTTAAGTACAAAAGCGGTAAACTATAGTACACCCTCACCTTGGCTGCTGTGGTATTCACACTTAGTTGCCAGCTAAGTGTTAATAACGCGACACAGTGCCTCCAGCGGCAGCGGCTCCAACTCCAGCGCCTCCAGCTCCAACAGCGCTACTCCGAAGGCGGGTGCGCCGAGCAAACCACTCGCGCAGCTGCTGTGGCGAGAGGGGCTCGCGCCGGCTAGACCGCTGCGGCGAGGCATCCGGAGAACCTCCAGCACCAGTACCTCCAAGACCAGTACCTACAGTACCTCCAGCTCCAAAATCTCCAGCACCAGGAGCTCCAGCTCTAGCTTCTTCAGCGGCATTGCCTCCACCTCTAGCAGCGCCACTCCGAAGGCGGGTGCGCCGAGCAAACCACTCGCGCAGCTGCTGTGGTGAGAGAGGCTCCCGCCGGCTAGACCGCTGCGGCGAGGCACCCGGAGAACCTCCAGCACCAGTACCTCTAGTACCTCCAGCTCCAGAACCTCCAGCACCACCAGCTCCAGGACCTCCTACTCCAGCGCCTCCAGCGGAAGTGTCTCTAGCTCTAGCAGCGTGATTCCGAAGGCGGGTGCGCTGAGCAAACCACTCGCGCAGCTGCTGTGGTGAGAGAGGCTCCCGCCGGCTAGACCGCTGCGGCGAGGCACCCGGAGAACCTCCAGCAGACGCAGCACCCCTAGACTCCACACCCCCAGACTCAGCACCCTCAGGCTCGGCACCCTTGGGCTCAGCACCCCCATACTCAGTACCCCCAGGCTTAGCACCCCCAGGCTCCACATACTCAGGCTTAGCACCCCCAGGCTCCGCACCCTCAGACTCAGCACCCCCAGGCTCAGCACCCCTAGCAGCACCACCCCCAGCAGCACCAGAGTCGACAGCAATCGGCTGTAAAGGCGGCGAAGACGGTCGAGGTGGAAAACCCGGAGGGGTCTCCAGGCAGGGCGAGCGGCGGGGGGCCGCCGCGTCGTCAGCAGCAACGTCACCCCCCTCAGGTGGGCCAGAGGTGTCGGAAGTGACCTCGAAAGGCTCAGCCAAGGGGAGTGGGTCTACCTGAGACACACCTGAAGGAGCAAGACCCTGAGGGGGGAGGGGGTCTACCGGAGGGGGACCTGGAGCAAGGAAGAGCGGAAGAGGGGGGAGAGGGGCAGTGCGGTAGGGGAAGAGACGGTAAAAGGGAACCGACTCGTCAAATGTAACGACTTGAGAGGACAAAACACGACGCGAGGTGGGGAGGTAAAATTGCCAGCCAACGAAGACGCAGGGAATGGCGCGAGAGGAGAGCTTGTCCGCGGTGGTATCGCGGACAAAGGCATGAGAGCCCCAGACCCGGAACACCGACGCATCGCCAACCTCCCCCGTCCAGCGCAGTGTAGGCCAGGTCTCCGGCAAGGAGACACGGGGCCAGAGGTTGAGCTGATGCGCAGCGTACCGGACCGCAAACGGCCACAGAAAATGGGGAGCAACCGCATGGATCATGGAGGTACGAGCCACCTTAATGACTAAGCCAATGTGGCGCTCAGCAATCCCATTCTGCTGCGGGGAGGCCGGAAGCGTGAATGACTGGAGGATGCCCTCCCCCTCACAAAAGATTCGTAGGAGGTGGGAGGAGAACTCACCACCTCTGTCAGAGTGCAGACGCAGGACAGCGCAGGCAGCGCGACGGGTGGGGCACCGCTACGGGCAGCGTGCTAGTTGGTGGGATCTAAAAAAACGATTCTGGGACAGGACCTGCTCTGAAACCATGCCAAAAGGAGAGAACGAGAATGAGACGCATTGACGTAAACAAGGGTACAAGTACAAACCCTAAACCCTGTACCCCTTATGGGTTACCCCACTACAGCCTACACAACACAAACATCATAATGTTCTGACAAATACTGAAGTTGGGGGGATGCTTTCGGTGAGCACCAAGCCAGCGAAACATTCTTCGCAACTCATTCACCTCTCACAGTAACATCGCCCTCTCACGCAGATTTGCCCCAGATGCAGCAAATTTGCCCGACTCAACAAATTCGTCCCCCTACCGCAGCACATTTGCACCTGGCGCAGCAAATTCTGTCATGATTATGTTTATGCTGTGTAGGCTGTAGTGGGGTAGCCCATAAGGGGTACAACCCAATTAGGGTTAGTACTTGTACTCAGCTTGTTCTCAATGCATTCATTCTCGTTCAGTATTCTGACATGGTTTCAGAGCAGGTCCTGTTCCAGGACCGTTTTTTTAGGGCCCATCGAATAGTTTCCTGCCCGTAGCGCGTTACCCTGTCCGTAGCGCCCTACCCTGCCCGCCGCGCTGCCCCATCAGTCGCGATGCCCTGCCCCGCCTGCACGCCGCCCTGCTGGCTGTCGTGCCACCTTGCCCTGCTCGTCGCGCCACCCTGTTGGCCACGCGCTGCCCTGCTGCCCGTCGCGCCGCCCTGCTGGCCGTGCCACCCTGCCCTGCTGCCCGTTGCGCCACCCTGCTGGCCGCGCCGCCCTGCTTCCCGTCGCGCCGCCCTGCTGGCCGCGCGCTGCCCTGCTGCCCGTCGCGCCGCCCTGCTAGCCACGCCACCCTTCCCTGTTGCCCGTCGCGCCGCCCTGCTGGCCGCGCACTGCCCTGCTGCCCGTCGCGCCGCCCTCCCCTGCCCGTCGCGTCACCCTAGGGCCTGCGCGCCGCCCTCCCCTGCCCGTCGCGTCACCCTAGGGCCTACGCGCCGTCCTCCCTTGCCTGTCGCGTCACCCTAGGGCCCACGCCCCGCCCCCGCCTGGCCCGTCGCGCCGCCCCAATGCCCGCGCACAGCCCTGCTGGCAGCACGCCGCCCCGTCTTAGCCGCGCGCCGCCCTTCCCTGGCCGCGCGCCGCCCCGCCCTGCCCTGCGCGCTTCCCTAGTGCCTACGCGCCGCCCTGCCCTGCCCGCCGCGCCGTCCTGCTGCCTGCGCGCCGCCCTGCCTTGCCTGCGTGCTGCCCTGCTGGTCGCGCGCCACCCTGCTCTGCCCGCTATGGCTTCTCTCAACGTTCTCACATTTAATTCCGAGGGCCGTCCGATCCAGTTTGAGACCTGGCTAGACGACTTACAGCTGTACCTACCAGCGAGTCTAGGGATGGCGTCTCCTTGTTTGACCACACGTCTGGGACCTCTCTCGCTCCTCCTGACACAGCTGACAGTGCGACTCGCTCACAGTGGCTTACCCGTGACGCTACTGCTCGCCTCGCCGTTCGCAACCACCTGCCGTTAGCCGAACGCGCGCACTTTGGCCAGCACAAGACTGCTAAAGCACTGTTTGACGCTGTAGTCGCTCGTTACTCCTCCCCTGCCACTGCTGCTCTAGGCCGACTCATACTGCCCTACCTCTTTCCTGAGCTGTCAGACTTTCCCACAGTCGCCGACCTCATCACCCACCTTCGCACTAGCGACACTCGCTACCGCGCAGTGCTTAAAACCCGAGTTTTGAGAACCCCCCCCCCCCTCCATGTACATCACTCTCTACTTCCTCGTCACCCGCCTCCCTGACTCTCTTTGCGCAATCAGGGACCTCTTTCTCGCCCTTGACCCCACAGACCTCACTGTCGACCTGCTCGAGAAGCATCTTCTTGCAACTGAGACTAGCATAGTCACTGTAGCTGCTTCTCGTGGCACTCCTCGCACTCCCTTCTTTGAGGGGTGTTCCCCCTCCCCCCTTGCCCCCTCTGTCGCTTCTGCTGCTGCTGTTGACTTCCTTCGTGCTGAGGAGGTCGGGGCTGCGTCTGCTCCTAGTGGGAGGCGCCGCAGCGGCAAGGGCAAGGGAGGCAAGAGTGGTGGGGTTGGCACCAGTGGAGGCGGTGGTGGAGGCGGTGGAGGCGGTGGAGGTGGCGGTGGTGGCGGTGGGAGTGGTGGTGGGGGTGGAGGAGTCGGTGGCGGCGGTGGTGGTAGCCGTTGGAGTGGTTGCGGCGGTGGTGGCAGCAGTGGGAGTGGTGGCGGCGGCAGTGGTGGCGGCAGTGGTGGCAGTCGTGGTGGAGCGGTCCAGAGGGGAGGTTCTGGCGGTGGCCAGAGGCAGCAGCAGCAGCGTCCGCGCGAGACCCTTACGCCCCAGCAGCTTCGTGAGTGGTTTGCTCAGCGTGGGGCGTCTGGGGGTAGTATTTGCTGCTCGTACGTCATTCGCATAGGTGATCGGGCTGGTCAGACATGCGGGAAGGTTGGTCACACACAGTTTTGCTGCTTCTCCCATCTTGACGACGCCTAGCGCGCACAGTTTGGCGACGAGGCTGAGCTCCCCCGCTGGCTAGAGCTGCTTAGAAACGATGTGGATATCTTTGCTTTTGATTATGACGCTATCCTTACTACCATGTATGTTTTGATTGTTAGTGCTGAGGGTGACTGTTACCTGTGTGTGCCGCCCGACCCAGGTATAGAGGCTGCTGCTCTAGGTGCTAGTGCGTCTGCTCTCTCTGGTATTTCACCTGCTGAGGCCTTGCACACCTTCATGCTTGACTCAGGTGCTTCCCGTTGCTTCTTTCGTGACAGTACCAAAGTCACACTACTCCCTGCACCTGTTGCATTCTCTCACCCTGACCCCTCAGGGGGCCCGGTTCTTGCACGTTCCTCCACTGTTCTCCCGTGTCCGGCGGTTCCGTCTGGCTCACTCTCAGGTCTTCACCTCCCCTCGTTCTCTACAAACTTGGTGAGTACCGCTGCCCTCCAGGATGCGATGGTCACTACCACCACTCCTGGGGGTCAGCGTGTGTCGATCTGCACGTGTGCACGGACGGGCCGTCACCTGGCCACGTTCACCCATCCGCCTGGGTTGAGCCTGTACACACTGACTACTGAGCCTACTCAGGTGGCTGCGTCTGGTCAGGTGTCCGCGTCAGGTCAGGTAGCAGCCCCCTGTTCGTGTCGCCTCCTCACGCACCAGACTCTCCTTTGGCACCACCGCCTTGGTCACCCCTCCCTGCCACGCCTCCGTAGCATGCACTCCCGCCTCCTTGTCTCTGGTCTTCCCAGGTCTCTGCCTCCCCTCCCGCCCTCGCCTGCGTCACCCTGCCTTCCTTATGTCGAGGGGTGGCAATGCGCCGCTCCTCACTCCTCGTTTCCCCCGACGACTGCTCCCCTGCAGACTCTCCATATGGACGTGTGGGGCCCAGCCCGCGTCAATGGACAGGACCGCGAGCGATACTTTTTGCTCGTTGTTGACGACTACTCGCGGTACACCACGGTCTTCCCCTTGCGCAGCAAGGGGGAGGTCCCTGATGTCTTGATCCCTTGGATCCGCGCTGTCCGTCTCCAGCTCTGTTAGCGGTTCCACCAGGACCTTCCTATCCTGCGTCTGCACTCTGACAGAGGTGGTGAGTTCTCCTCCCACCTCACGCCTGCTGGACTTATGTCGAGGGAGGGCATCCTCTAGTCGTTCACGCTTCCGGCCTCCCCGCAGCAAAATGGGATTGCTGAGCGCCGCATTGGCTTAGTCATGGAGGTGGCTCGTACCTCCATGATCCATGCGGCTACCCCCCATTTTCTGTGGCCGTTTGCGGCCCGGTACGCTGCGCATCAGTTCAACCTCTGGCCCCGAGTCTCCTTGCCGGAGACCTCGCCTACACGGAGATCGCATCATGTTCTATCCTCTCAGGACGTCACGTTTGACGAGTTGGTTCCCTTTTACCGTCTCTTCCCCTACCGCACTGCCCCTCTCCCCCCCCCGCCGCTCTTCCTCGCTCCAGGTCCCCCTCCGGTAGACCCCCTCCCCCCTCAGGGTCCTGCTCCTTCAGGTGTGTCTCAGGTAGACCCACTCCCCTTGGCTGAGCCTCTCGAGGTCACTTCCGACACCTCTGGCCCAGCTGAGGGGGGTGACGGTGCAGGAGACGACGCGGCGGCCCCCCACTGCTCACCACGCTTGGAGACCCCTCCGGGTTTTCCACCTTGACTGTCTTCGCCGCCTCTGCAGCCGGTTGCTGTCGACTCTGGTGCTGCTGGGGGTGGTGCTGCTAGGGGTGCTGCGTCTGGGGGTGCTGAGCCTGGGAGTGGGTGTGGAGCCTGGGGGTGCTGAGCCTGAGGGTGCTGAGTCTGGGGGTGCAGAGCCTGGGGGTGCTGAGCCTGGGGGTGCCGAGTCTGAGGGTACTGAGCCTGGGGGTGCGGAGCCTGGGAGTGCTGAGCCTAAGGGTACTGCGTCTGCTGGAGGCACTGCCGCTGGAGGCGCTGGCGCTGGAGGCACTAACGCTGGAGGCGCTTGAGGTGGAGGCGTTGGAGCTGGAGGCGCTGGATCAGGAGGCCTTAGAGCTGGAAGCGCTACAGCTGGAGACCCTGGCGCTGGGGGCGCTAGAGCTGGAACCGCTGGAGCTGGTGGCGCTAGAGCTGGAGAACCTGTAGCTGGAGGCGCTAGTGCTAGAGGCCCTGGAGCTGGAGGTGCTGGCGCTGGAGGCACTGGAGCTGGCATTACTGGTGCTGGAGGCATTGTGCAGCAGCAATCGTTTTTCTTGCTGCCGCCGCAGCCGTCACTGCTACCGCCTGCCTCGGCGCTCCGTCAAGTTCTTAGTCTTCCTTCGTCCACTGCCCTTCCTCCGCTTGACCTGTCCCAGGCGCCGTTACAGCCAGACTCACCGCTGCCTGCCCCCCCTCGTTACACTGAGCAGCCAGCCTCCCGTACAGATTGTCTTGAGCCTGCGTCTCGTCTTGTCACGCCTGCTTGCACTGGTCGTCGTGTCCCTCGTCCTCATCCTCCCCATGTGCCAGGTACTAATATTACGGCACTTCGTCCTTCCTCTGTTCCACTGCGAGTTCCCCTGCCATCTCCTCCGGCATCCTCTCTTACTGACGTTCCGGACCCTAAGTCTGACTTGGTTCGTGTTGCAAGCCCTACTGCTATTTGTCTTCTTTTGAGTCCACTGCTGCGTCTGCCTTAGTTGCTGAGCTTGTTGACTTTGCTGCTGCGTGTCGTCTAGACTACGCCACTAGTCTTGTTGCTGAGTCTGAGTCTGTCTGTCCTCCGTCCGTCGGGGGTGAGTGTGCTCTTGGCACGGACGTCCTTGAGGACAGGCAGGAGGAGTTTGAGTGCTTTGCCGCTGCTGTACCTCATCTCGTGGCCTGGCTGCTTGCACCTGAGGGAGACCCGGATGCACTGGACATCCTGACCCCGCGCTCTTACGCAGAGGCGATTACGGGTCCTTCCTCCTCTTAGTGGCAGACAGCCATGGACGCAGAGATGGCATCCTGGAAGTCCACAGGCACTTACGTTGACGCAGTTCCCCCTCCTGGGGCGAACATAGTCGACGGCATGTGGATTTTCAGGGTGAAGCGGCCGTCGGGTTCTCCGCCTGTCTTCAAGGCTCGTTACGTTGCACGAGGCTTTAGTCAGCGACAGGGAGTTGACTTCTTCCAGACCTTCTCCCCTACCCCAAAGATGACCACTCTTCGGGTGTTGCTGCACATTGCCGCTCAGCGTGACTACGAGCTTCACTCTCTTGACTTCAGCACGGCTTTCTTGCAGGGCAGCCTGCACGAGGAGATCTGGTTGCGCCGTCCTCCTGGCTTCACTGAGGGTACCTAGTGGAGCCTCCGACGGCCAGTCTACGGTCTCCGCTAGGCGCCTCGTGAGTGGCACGACACACTGAGGACGACACTTGCGGCTCTTGGGTTTGCTCCTTCCACTGCTGACCCGTCACTGTTTCTACGCACCGACACTTTGCTGCCGCCGTTCTACATCCTCGTGTACATCGACGACTTGGTTTTTGCCACTGCTGACATTGAGGCACTCGCCCTTGTGAAGTCGGAGCTGTAGAAGAGACACACGTGCACTGACCTGGGTGAGCTGCGCAGCTACCTTGGCTTGCAGATCACCCTGGACAGAGCACGGCGCACCATCACCCTGACTCAGTCACACATGGTGCACCAGGTCCTTCAGCGCTTCGGCTTCTAGTTCTCCTCGCCACAATCGACTCCTACCAGTCACTCGCTCTCAGCTCCACCTTCGGACGAGTCCATAGAGCCGAGTGGCCCGTACCCAGAGCTTGTGGGCTGCCTCATGTACCTGATGACCTGCACTCGACCTGACCTTGCGTACCCTCTTAGCATCCTGGCACGCTACGTTGCGCCTGGGAGACACCGACCAGAGCATTGGAAGGTCGCTAAGAGGGTGTTGCGCTACTTGTGCAGTACATCGGGCATGGGGCTTGTGCTTGGAGGACGGGGTTCAGTTGTCCTCACTGGACACTCAGACGCGTCTTGGGTTGACGACCTGGCTACGCAGCAGTCGTCACAGGGTTACACTTTCAGCCTTGGCTCCGGCTCTGTTTCTTGGCGGTCTACCCGCTCGTCTTCTGTTCTTAGCTCCAGTTGTGAGGCTGAGATCTACGCAGGAGCCATGGCTGCACAGGAGTTACGCTGGCTCACCTACCTGCTGACCGACTTGGGAGAGCAGCCTCGTTCTCCTCCAGTTCTGTATGTCGACAACAAGGCCGCGATTGCCTTGTGTTAGGAGCACAGACTGGAGCACAGAACGAAGCAAATCGCTCTGCGTTACTTCCTTGCTCGAGAGTTGCAGCAGCGTGGTCAGCTTCGTCTTGCTTACGTGGCCACACGGGCCAACACTGCTGATATATTCACCAAGGCACTTCAACCTGGCGATCATCAGCGTTTCTGTACTACTCTATGCCTTGTGCCTACTTTGTCTCACTTGCTCACTGCGTGACTTTGCTTGTATTGTGATACATATGTATATGTAGATATATATTTATTTATATATATTCCTGCATGCTTACACTCGCAAGGTTGTGATCACAGTACTGTTTGTTCTCTTTTATATAACTCTGCATGTGAACTGACCTTGTGGCCATTTGCTTGTGCTCGGACTGTGTGGTGACTTCGTGATCCACCCTGAGCTTGCTTTGCAGGCCATGTCGCCTACCGTAGCTTCAATGGAGGAGCAATATTGTGTGCAAAGTGAGGAGCTGATTGGCGCAAGCGCAGCTGTGAAGGCGTTAGCTACCTCGAGCCAAGCGTCTTGGGAGACTTGGCACCGGCGACTAGCACATGCGGCTGTCTCCATATTGGAGTTGATGCACAAGGAGAGGTGCGTGCACGGCCTGCAAGTGCATGGTGATGGCGCTGTGTTTGGCGGCTGCGAGGCATGCATGCAGAACAAGTTCGTGCGATTCCCGTTCCCACGTGCGGAGGGATCAGCGAAGGCACCATTGGAGGTGGTGCATATGGAGCTTGTAGGTCCTATGCGGACTGAGGGGACTGGGGGAGCAT